TCCCAGTGCTGGCAGCCTGCTGTTCCCTTGCAGCTGCTCTAACTACCTGGCTACAATTTGCTTCCAAAAAATCCTTGATCTCCTTTTTCCTTCCCAGCCCCAGAATACTCTACAAGAAAGGACATCTCACACATGCTGTCTCCCACAAGCATTTTTGTGGTGCCCTCTGCAAACAGCTCCACTCACCTTCCTGGGGGCCCCCGGCCTGGTCCCTGTGAGTGTTTCACTCCCATATGGACATCTAAATAAGTGGTCAGGTTTCCAGAAAAGCCCAGTGATGTTGGTGGGGAGCAGTTCACCCCCCACCCCCCATTCAACCTTAGGTGCCAAATGCTGTAGCTTCTCGTCCTTGGTTACAGCAAACTGGTAGCAGAGGGTGGCCATGCAGCAGAGATATGGTTTTTGGTGCTGAGTTGGGCACCCCAATGCTCTTCTTCCCTCACTGGCAAGCCACCTCCATAAGGACTCTCCGTGTCCATCCACACTGTGTTCCCAGCATGTCTCAAAAGAGACAGTTTTGAGCACTCCCTCCCCACTCACTCACACAGGCCAAATGTGGAAAGTCAGCAGTGATGCTCCCTTTACTCCTCCTCTCTTAGTGCTTTTGTCTTCTGGCAAATCTCAGGAGGCTTTAGGAAAGTGTTAGATGTGGGGAAACCAAGGCAGGGAGCACGGTGATGCCCACACAGTGAGGCAGCAGGAGACTTGGCAATAGGACTAGAGTCCCAAGGTCCAGGTCCCTCTCTTCTCACCACATCCCTCATTTCCCATCTTTTCAAGGCCCCGTTTTACTTGCAGCTTTGGTCCTTCTGCTGTTCCAGCAGTTGCAGCTGCTCTCAAGATCTTTGCCCCTGGTGAGCTTGAGAGCAGCCAGGGGGGATGCCCCTGGCTCACTTCTGGGTTTGGCATATGCAAGCAGGAGTGGGTGAGTGTGTGGCATGGTCTAAAGCACCTCTGCCAGGCCCCATAGCCATGGGGGTAAGACAACATGGTGTACACGATGCCCTCTGATGCACTCTCTCTTTGAGGAGAGCTTGTTCCCTCTCTGCTTACTTCTAGCCCCGGGTTGATAACAGGCCACAACACAGCTGCTTAAGGAGAGCCCCTGAAACCATACGTTTGCAAAGGAGAAACAGTGAAGAAACAGTGGTCTCTGTTCAGAGCCAGCACTAGGCAGCTGACACATCACCACTGCTAGGCAGGAATGGTCTCTCTGATATTTCTGCCATTGCAGCCGGTCCTATATATAAGAAGAACCTGGCAAACCAAGTATACCCCTGCCCCAGGTTTCTGGGACAGCCCACCAGGCTGAGGGGGTGAGGGAGAAGGAGAATTGCTCCCAAACCCAGCCAGTGACCCGCTGCTAGCATCAAGCATGCAGCCTCTGTAGCTCTCTGTTTAATATTCATTCCACTGCAAGTCCAGCCTCAGCCCATCCCAAGCAGGAATCCACTGTCAGCAGCCGCTCTAAAGGAAATGAGCAAGGACAGGTTTGCTGAAAGAGCAGGGAGGATGTCGAGCTGGATTAGCAGGAGGGGTAAAGCTGCAAGTGAGACGGGGCCTTGAAAAGATGGGAATTGAGGGATGTGGTGGGAAGAGAGGAAACTGGGCTGTGGGGCTCTAGTTCTATTTCCAGGTCTCCCACTGCCTTAGTTGCAGCAAGTCCTGACCTCCGTGCCTTGGTTTCCCCACATCTAATAGTCTGCTTTCCTAAAGCCACCCGCAATTTGGAAGAAGAGAAATGCAAGTAAGAGTGGTGGAGCCAAGGAAGCAGATGAAAGGGAAAAGGCAGATAGGGAAGAGAGCTGCTAAAGATGACACCTGGGATAAGAGTGAGAAACTACACTGAGTCTGAAGTGGTGCGTGCCGGCACGTGGGATTCACGCCCCTTCGGTTCTCAGACTCAGAGCTGGGAATTTACCCTGCAAACAGTGGTACCGGTGCTGAAGAGTCCTCCTAAACCTACAAGCTCTGGGCGTGGTGTCACCCTTCACCCAGGTCCAAGTGGGTATAAAACACCCACCGGAGAGGCAGTGGGCACCCCCTCCTACTTTGTGCAGGTGGCCACAACGAGCTGGGTTGCTCAATAACGGCGACACACCCTCCCCTCCATTGCATATTCAGAGTCAGATGCCTGCCCAGCTCGGCTCCCCGCTCCATGGAGCCCTGCAGAGCCAACCCAGCTGTGAGCAAACAAGCTGGCGCCTCACACTCTGGCAGCAGGCGTCCTACGCCAAGTCCTGATGGCTGGAAAGAAACCACCACGCACCTCTCCAGCTCCAGCACGAGCTTGCAGGTAGAGAATAAACACCAGTTTCCCGGCAAACCGAGTCATTCTGAGCTGCAGGCACGGAGACACAATAAACGCAGAGGCTTCCAACGCTGTTTTTACAGCGTCCTTTTCCAGAGCTGA